AGAACTTTCATGGTGAATGATCTTAGAGGAAAATGATTTGGGGTGATTTTTATTTTGGTTTTCATACTTTTAGTATTTTCTACTTTATACTTCTCTGTATATTTTAGAAACTCTTACTTTAATAATGAAAAAGTAAGATTTTTTTTCAATATGATTTTATTGATTTCAGAGAGAGGAAGGGAGAGGGAGAAGGAGAGAGAGAGAAACATCAATGATGAGAGTCATCGATCAGCTGCCTCCTGCACGCCTCCTACTGAGGATCAAGCCAAAACCAGGGCATGTGCCCTGACCAGGAATCAAACCATGACCTCCTGGTTCGTAGGTCGACGCTCAACCAATGAGCCATGCCAGCTCGGCAGAAAGTAAGCTATTTTAAGGGAGAAAATCTCCCACCTGTGTTTGTCAGTCTAATCAACTAATACTTTTTTTAACCTGACCATTTATCCATGTCTCAAAATTAATCCTGATCCTTTTTCAACCAAAGTTTCCACTTCATCCCTCACTGTGTCAAATCTTAGGATATTTACTGATTTTACCAGTCAAGCAATGTTAGACCAGCAACCTAGCTATCTTAGCACCCACAAGCTACCTCCGCTTGTAAGCAGCTACATGCCCATGATGTTATGATTGCCAGGCATCCTGTATCTTTTATAAACAAGCATTTGGACCATCCTTAGCCTTGCCTTGATTCCTACTTTGTTGGGGAAGGAAGGAGAGGGAAGGATGGAGAACAAAATAAAGGGTAGAAAAAAAGACTACGTTTGGGTTAGAATATGGTGAACAAGGCAGAGGAGATTAGGGCCAGAGAGAAGCAAAAGAGAACAAACATGAAATAAAAGAGATTGAAGATGGTGGCAGAATAGGTGAAAACAATATACACCTGCTCCTGGCAACGAAAGGGAGATAAACTAAAACTCAGAGAAATTAACCTGAATTAGTAACAGAAAGACACCTGAACAGGAGTATCACATCCAAGCATTGAAAAACAGAAGCTACACAGATAAGAGGGACAGAGGCGTGGTAATGGCTGGTTCCTGCACCCAGGGGCAGCGGATTTAGCAGGAGAAGTATTGCGGTTGCAAAAGCCACCCAGAGGAAAGAGGGGGTCTCAATCCCACACCAGGAACCCCAACCCAGAACACCAGGGCCTGAAAGAAGAGCATGCAAACATTTGGCAGCAGAAAATAAACAGGGAATTGGCCCACTGGTTTCGGGAAGGAGTCTGCCTGAATCCAGGATGTTCTCTGTAAAGACCACCACACAAGGACTCGCTCTGGGGCACTCCCCCAGTGCTCTGGTGGAGGGAAGGAGACTCGGGTATACAGAAGGCAGAAGAAGATGAGGGTGGCATAGCACAGGAGATCAGGGAGGCAGGCTTCTGAGGTCTCAGTTCCGAGCCAACATTCCACACCATCCCCAGATGCCATCTCCCAGGGTCAAATGGACAAATTCCTAGAAACATACAGTCTTCCAAAGCTGAATCAGGAAGAATCAGAAAACCTGAACAGGCCAATAACAACTAATGAAATTGAAGCAGTAATCAAAAAACTGCCAGCAAACAACAGTCTGGGATCAGATGAATTTACAGGCAAGTTTTACCAAACATTCAAAGTAGAATTAACACCTATTCTCCTCAAACTATTCAAGAAAATTCAAAAGGAGGGAAATCTCCCAAGCTCTTTTTATGAGGCCAGCATCATCCTAAACACAAAACCAGATAAAGACACTACAAAGAAAGAAAATTACTGGCCAATATCCCTGATGAACATAGATGCTAAAATCCTCAACAAAATACTAGCCAACCCGATCCAGCAATACATTCAAAAGATCATACACCACGACCAAGTGGGGTTTATTCCAGGGATGCAAGGCTGGTATAATATTCACAAATGAATAAATGTGGTACATCACATGAACAAACTGAAAGACAAAAATCATAAGATCATATCAATAGATGCAGAAAAAGCACTAGAAAAAATCCAGCACCAATATTTAATAAAAACTTTCAGCAAAGTGAAAACAGAAGGAACATACCTCAACATAATAAAGGCCATATATGACGAACCTACAGGCAACATCATACTCAATGGTCAAAAACTAAAATCATCTCCCTTAAAAACAGGAACAAGACAGGGTTGTCTGCTTTCACCACTCTTATTCAACATAATACTGGAAGTCCTTGCCACAGCCATCAGGCAGGAGGAAAACATAAACGGTATCCAAGTTGGAAAGGAGGAAATAAAACTGTCATTCGCAGATGACATGATATTGTACATAGAAAACCATAAAGACTCCACCAAAGTACTACTAGATTTAATAAATGAATTCAGCAAGGTAGCTGGATACAAAATTAACATCTGAAAATCTATGGCATTTTTATATACCAACAATGAAATATCAGAAAGAGAAACTAAAAAAAATCCCATTTACCACTGCAACAAAAAAAATAAGATACCTAGGAATAAATTTAACCAAGAATGTAAAAGACCTGTACTCGGGAAACTACAGGATACTGAAAAAAGAAATAGAGAAAGATATAAACAAGTGGAAGAATATACTATGTTCATGGATTGAAAGAATTAATATCATTAAAATGTCCATACTACCCAAAGCAATCTATAGATTCAGTGCAATTTCTATTAAAATACCAAAAAACATATTTCACAGGGCTAGAACAAATATTCCAAAAATTTATATGGAACCAAAAAAAGACCCTGAATAACTGCAAAAATCTTAAGAAAGAAGAACAGAGTTGGAGGGATCACTTTACTGGATATCAAACTATACTACAAAGCCACTGGCATCAAAACGGCCTGGTATTGGTATAATAGACATATAGATCAATGGAACAGAATGGGAATCCCAGAAATTGACCCATGTCATTATGGTCAGTTAATATTTGACAAAGGAGGAAATAGCATACAATGGAGTAAAGACAGTCTCTTCAATAAATGGTATTGGAAAAATTGGACAGCTACATGCAAAGAAAATGAAACTAGATCACCAACTTACTCCATACACAATAAATTCAAAATGGATAAAGGACTTAAATGTAAGTCACGAAACCATAAAAATCCTGGAAGAAAACATAGGCAGTAAAGTCACAAACATCTCATGTAGTGGAATTTTCACCGATACATCCCCTAGGGCAAGAGAAACAAAAGAAAAAATAAACAAATGGGATTATATCAAACTACACAGCTTCTGCACAGCAAAAGAAATCAATCTCAAAATTCAAAGGAACACCACGGTACGGGAGAACATATTTGCCAAGTATGCATTTGATAAGGGGCTAATTTCCAAAATATACAGACAACTCATACAACTCAACAAGAGGAAGACAAACAACCCATTAAAAAAGGGCAAAGGACCTGCATAAACACTTCACCAAAGAGGACATACAGGAAGCCAAGAGATACAGGAAAAAATGACCAATGTCATTAATCGTCAGAGATGCAAATTAAAACCACAACGAGGTATCACTTCACACCTGTCAGAATGGCTACCATCAACAAATCAACAAATGACATGTGTGGTGAGGATGTGGAGAAAGGGAACCCTGGTACACTGCTGGTGGGAATGCAGACTGGTGCAACCACAATGGAAAACCGTATGGAGGTTCCTCAAAAAATTAGAAATGAAGCTGCCTTTTGACCCAGTGATCCCACTTCTAGGACTATACCCTAAGAATTCTGAAACACTAATCAGAAGGAATACGTGGACCCCTATGTTCATAGCAGTGCAATTTATAACAGCTAAGATCTGAAAACAGCCCAAGTGCCCCTCAGTAGATGAGTGGATAAAAAAGCTGTAGGACATTTACATCATGGAATACTACACAGCTGTAAAGAAGGATCTCATACCTTTTGGGACAGTATGGATGGACCTGGAGAGTATTATGCTAAGTGAAATAAGCCAGGCAGAGAAAGACAAACATCACATGATCTCACTTATATGTGGAATCTAAAGAATAAGCTCATAAACAAAATTGATTCAGTGACATAGAAGCATGGAACAGACTGACGAATCTCGGAGGGAAGACGGGGGTGGTTGGGTGGGAAGGGATTAACCACAGAATTTATATGCATGTATGCATAACCCGTGGATACAAACAATAGTGTGGTGAAGGCCTGGGGCAGGGAGTAGGTGCAGGGTGGAAGGGCTCAATGGGGAAAAGGGGGACATCTGTAATACTTTGAACAATAAATTTAAAAAAAAAAAAAGAGAGAGAGACAGGGGTGTAAATGGAAGGGTAATTTTCCAACAGAAAAGACAGCAGTTACCCAAACATCTGCTGTATTATGTTAGTGATGTGCTACATTATTAGCCTACACACTCCTAGTCATGCCCCTTCATGTTCACAGGGTAAAACAGTAACAAAAGGACTGCACCATTTTAGGGGCCCCAAAGGGCACCCAGGTCTCTGAGGCTACCTTCAAGATGATCCAAGTAGCTAGTGTGACTAAGGAACTGGATTTTAAATTTCATTCAATCTTAATTATATAAATTTAAATAGACATATGTGGCTAGTGGCTATTCTATTAGACAGTGCAGTTCTAATACTACAAAAGTTAATGTTCAGCAATTGAAAATGGTGTTTAAAAAAATGAATTTTTTCTTCCTTAAGACCCAGCAGAACAGCCAGGAAATCAGATTATTTGTTCAAAAGGAATCTTTCTCTGGGTAAATCCCTGAGACCAGTAATGATTTACTGTCACCCAATCAGGAAAGAGAAAATAAGGCAATTCAATGGCCATCTCAGCTCTAAGCTCTCAGGTGTGATTTTGCTTACTCCCAGAGTTTCCCTTTAGGTTTTCCTTTGAAGCTCTTCATATCTTACCTTAGATCAAAACAAATTTCTTCTTTTTCTCCATCCCTGGCCGTATCTCTCACTGGGCAGATTCAATGGCATGGTGATCTGGATCTTCCCATCCTCTAAACTGAGAGGTTGACCTTTTCTAGATGTTTTGGCAAACCAAAGAAACTTTGTAGTGCAATTATCAGAGAACACCTTAATTGTAATGGTCCAAAAAGAAAAAGGAAAAGTGGACTTTGGGACTTAAGAGGAAGATGAATTTGGGGTTGAAAATGAAGAGATGAGGGCCAGTTCCCCTGAACAGTCTTTCCAAATCCATTCAGGAGGGAAATCTTCAACTTCAGAAGACTCAAAAGACTTTTCTATGTGAATTTTCCTATGCTGACTGAGGTAGGCACTTCTGCTGAAGCATTTCTCACAGTCAGTACATTTGTAAGGTTTTTCTCCTATGTGGGTCCTCCGGTGCCTGATAAGGTTAAAACTCTGACTGAAGCACTCACCGCAATCAGGGCATTTATAAGGTTTCTCTCCTGTGTGTGTCCTTTGGTGAATTACCAGGGTGGAACTCTGACTAAAAGTTTTCCAGCACTCAGAACATCTGTAAGGTTTTTCTCCTGTATGTGTCCTCTGATGTCTAATTAGATGAGAGCTGAGGCCAAAACTCTTTCCACATTCACAACATTTATATGGTTTCTCTCCTGGCTGGGTTCTGCATTCTTCTATCTCACTGCAGTTCTGACTCAAACTTTCTTCATAGTCTGAACTTTCACAGGGTTGTTCTCCTGTGTGTGCTTTCTGGTGTGCAATGAGGTTTGAACTTCGACTGAAATTCTTCCCACATTCTTTACACTGATAGGGTTTTTCTCCTGTATGTATTCTCTGATGCTTTATTAGAGTAGAATTACAACCAAAGCTTTTTCCACACTCAATACATTTGTAGGGCTTCTCACCTGTATGTGTTCGCTGGTGGCGAATCAGGCTGGAACTCTGACTAAAACCCTTCCCACAATCAGAGCATTTATAAGGTTTTTCTCCAGTGTGAGTCCTCTGATGTTCTATTAGGACATAACTGTGGCTGAAGCATTTCCCACAAACAGGACATTCGTATGGTTTTTCACCAGTGTGTGATCTGTGATGCTGAATAAGGTGAGAACTACTGCTGAAACTCTTCCCACAATCGGGACATTTATAGGGTTTCTCTCCTGTGTGAGTCCTCTCATGGATAATAAGATGGGAGGTATTGCTGAAGTTTTTCCCACATTCCCCACACTGGTAGGGCTTCTCTCCTGTGTGTGTTCGCAGATGCTGAATCAGGTGAGAGCTGTTACTGAAGCATTTCCCACACTCAGAGCATTTATAAGGTTTTTCCCCCGAGTGAGTCCTCTGGTGAGCACGCAAATGAGAACTGTTATTGAAGCTTTTCCAACATTCAGAACATTTGTAGGGTTTGTCTATGAAGGATGAATTCTGCTGGACAGAGGCACTGGCATATTCTCCTGGGTCCCATCCCCAGTCATTGGGTTTTTCTTCCTCTTTTCCTGTATAATTTTCCCGATTCTCTGACTTGCCATCATTCTCATAGAAACCATCACACCAAATCTCATCTCCTTGGGACCCTGTCAATGGTATTTCTTTTGTATCCTCATGCTTACAATTTTGAGGGCCATCTCTTTTAGACCATTTTGAGGCTCTGTCTTTCAGTTTATCTGCCTTAAGTTTATTGTGTTGAACAATTTCTAAATTATTCTTACTTTCAACTCCTGCAAAAATAAACAAATATTCTAAACATAGTCCCTAATCTCTGCCAGGGGAATTCTGAATTGCAGTGGAACAGAGGAAATAACAAAGTAAAACCTTGCAAATTATTTTATATAAAAATGTTTTTAAGTTAGTTTTACTTCAACATCAGAAGCAAATGAATTTTTTGTACTTAGTAACAACACTAATCAAGTATTTGAACAGCTGTCAGCAATTGCCAAGGGAGATATTTATTAAAAATAAATTCACTAGCTTTATTCTAGAAGACTTAAAAGAAAAAAGGGGGGTCTGAGTAGGGGAGAAACTGAATAGGACACCATCTGAGGTGAAAACTAGACAATATCTGAGCACATATAGAAATAACGATAGCCACTACAGGCATACCTCATTTTATTGTGCTTAGCTTTACTGTTTCACAGATGTTGTTTTGTTTACAAATTGACAGCAAGCACCTGTATCAGCAAAAAGATTATGACTCGCTTAATTGAGATGCTTGCTTTATTGTGATCTGACACTGAAACTGAAGTATCTCTGAGGTATGCCTGTATTTATTAAGAACAGTAGCTTTGCACATAGTATCTCATTAATCCTAAAAAAATATGTGAGACAGATAGTATCACATTTCTTTTCTTGAAGAGACAACTAAGGCTATAAGAGTTAACACAACTTGTGAGTTACAGAGCAGGGAATTAAATTAAAGTTTGTCTCATTCTAATGCCCTGTTCTCCCTACATACTCTATAGCACATCTTATAATGGATTTCCAAAGTATTCAGATCATCTTTTTGATCCCTCACCTGTAAAAGAGCTTTTCAAACTCTCCCTCTCCGTGAAGCCATTAGAATCTGAGACCAACAGGTTTTTCTCTTGCTCCATCACAAGGATCACAACCAGAAATCCTGTAGAAGGAAACAGGTCATATTTGGAGGCATTTGTTAAAATTTATTCTTCCTCCTTCCTTCCCAATCACTGTAACACAACAACTGTAGGCACAGAGTGTTCTGTTAATAATACTAAAGATAAGAAATATAGTCTTTAGAAATCCTTTTAGAAAATCCTTTCTCAGATGCAAGTGCTTAGAATTCAGGGTTAACCCAATTTATCTTTTCCAAGGAAATAATTTAAAAAATTAAATTTCACATTAAAGTCTGAGGATCAAGCATCAATACTAGAATAAATACAATACTACTGTCCACTCAGAGCTTAGAAACATTTTTAATTGAAAAAACAAAGTATTTCTTTTAAAGGCACCAATAATAAGAATTCAAGGAACCAATATGTCAGTGTAAGAAGCAGCTAAAGAAAGCACTCTGTTTAGTTTAGAATAACTTGGTCCTTGACAGAGGGCGAAAACTTTGAAGTCAATTTCAAAAGAAAGTTAGGATTTCTATAATCAGTAACAAGAAAGTAGTACAAAGCAGGGTTAGAATAATTATAGACAATAACCCCTAAATATTTCAGAATGCTAACAAGGGTCCTCTTCCTTGCCTCTAAGTCTATCATAATCCCAATATCCATTTCAACCTCAATTTTATTTTCTGCAGCCAAATACAATCCTTGACCTACTTTAACAGACTAGAAAATGTGATCAATGGAAGGCAGTTATATATGAACTTGGCATTCAAGTCAAGATATAAAGAGCACTGCCCCCAAGGCTCAGCAGTTGAGCAACCACCTATGACCCAGGAGATCATTTAAATTCCAGGTCAGGGCACTGCCTGGGTTGCGGCTGGATCCCCAGTACGGGGCGTGCAGAAAGCAGCCAATCTATGACTCATCACTGATGTTTCTATATCTCCCTTCCTCTCTCTGAAATAAAGACATACTTTTTAAAAAAAGATATAAAGAATACATGATTTGGGGGAAATGAAAGCCTAAAATAAGGATATACAAAGGCATGCAAATGAAAAACAAACAAAAATAGTATACTTGTAATTTTGACCCTATTACTGCCTATTATGCGCCAGACAGTGAACTGAATAATGTACACATATTTCTCACTTAATTCTCACAATAGCCCTCTGAGGTATATAAACAATTACGAGCATTTTATAGATGAACTAAAAAAGACATTAAGAAACTTTCCCAAGGCCATGCAACTGGACAGTGCGTGGTATAGCAGGATTTAACCCAGAGTCTGTGTGGACACTGACCTTCACACTCAGCTCTGACAGTGAACTAGAGCAGGAAGCAGAAAGCTGGGCATAACCCCAAACTGCAAATGATCCTCAAAGAGGACCTTTACTTAGAAATATACTGACTGGATTTTTAGAGAATAGATTTACATCCCTAGACCTTATACCAAACGGAGCTGGCATTCCCCAAGCGTCCTGAGCAAGGAGGGATTTGTTATAAGAAAAGGTGAAAGTCTCAATTATAAATACCCGTGTTTGAGCAGGGAGAAGAGACGCCTGAATAGGAAAAGGGGGGGGAAGAGTTGGAGTGCCATGTTTTGCTTTCTGAGTTACATATTTCTATCAAAGTGCTCACACAGGAAGCGAGAGCCTGGGTAACAACAGATAACCGCGCCAGCATTTTCCCTGCTAAAAAACTATTCATTTTGGTAGTAGAGGCGCCCTCAAGTGCACTGGTCCCATCAAAGGGCAGCAAACTCAAGGCCATCAATGGTGTGAGAAAGGCTGTCCTTGAGGTGTCCCTTCACAGAGCAGGCCAGTTTTCATTGCCAGCGCCCAAATAGGGCGTCAGGATGGGGCCCGAGCGCCCTGACTGAAGCTCAGTTCACTAGAAGCCCTTGGCAGGGGCCCTAGGTTGGGGTGCCCCGTGAGGGGGGGTTCCAGCGGCCCAGACCGTCACCAGCTGGCACGGTCCTGTAAGGGACTCCGCAGCGAGGGAGGCGCAGGGCCCGAG